AACTCAAACCAGCTTGTGAGAAATACAGTCTGGGCATCACCTTAGTGTACCAAAGAAAGTACATGGAACTGTGCAGGCCAAGGCCAGGTCATTTTCTTAGGCAATACTGAACTGATGGCCATGACACTACAGCTGAAGCCAATAGCAAAGCTACACAGGCTTTAGGCCAGAGCTCTAATTCCTTCAATACAGCAAACACATAAGCACATGCAGAACTTGAACGGAACAGCTGAGAGGTCTGAGGGACTGACTCCAGTGCTGGAAGTCAGCAGTGGCAGATTGTCAATAGCTACAAAGCCTTTTATCTTCTAGAAGCCCAGATGCTGCTAGGAATGACAGCATTGACAGGCATGAGAGGCATTGAGAAGCATTGAGAGGCATGAGAGACACTGAGAGGCACCACCCATGAAAGAAGAAGGGATGGGAGAAAAAGTCTTTAAGACACACTAGGATAGAAACAGCATCAAAGAAGAAAGTAAACACCATGGCCCTGTCATGGAGACAGACTAATCTTTCCATACTCCCTAAAATTGCATGGAACTTGGAACAAGAGAGGACTTGAGAAGCCAGTAAAGTATTTCACATATTGTGTACACATCAGTGTGCACTGTACAAAAATGATATTTTTATGACTTAGTGATGTGGGCAGCCAGCCTGAGTTGAGCAAGAACAGAGAGATTTGGCAGGTAAAATAGGAGTCATAAAGCAAAAGATAAAGAGACAACTGGTACAAATAGCCAAAAAAAAAGAGCCCCATGACAGGCAGTGTTAGCTGTGATATGTGTGGGATTTTTTAATTTATTTTTTACTGTTCTCTATTCACAAGATAAAGAAAGTCATTAGCTTGTGTTTGTCTGCACTTTGCAGTTACTGAGCATTGTGCAGCCCCACAGAGACATCAATAAACTGTTCCAGACCTTCACTTGCAATAACATACTCACACCAACAAGGCCTTGTTCAATAGCATGGTTCCAAAGAGGACCTAGCTAATAATGTATTGCTTGGAGGTGGCTTGGGAGTTCTCTTCACCAGGTAGTAAAATCAAGTTGAAAGTTAAAGTTAAATTCTGTGCAGAAACGTAAACTGAAAATGCTTAACTGGCTTCTCTGCCAAATAAATCATCTCTCTGTGACTCTGAGGTAAGAAAAAATTCATTCCTCTAGATGGATCTGGACAATGGGAATCTCATGAGGTTTAACAAGACCAAGTGCAAGGTGTACCTGGTGCTGGGTTGGAGCAACACCCAGTACCAATACAGGCTGGGAGACGAACAAATCAAGAGCAGCACTGCTGAGAAGGACTTGGGGGCGCTGGTGGATGAGAGGTTGGACATGAGCCAGCAATGTCCAATTGCAGTACAGAAAGCTGACTGCATCCTGGGCTGCAGTCAAAGCAGTGTGGCCTGCAGGTTGACGGGGGCGATACTGCTGCACTACCTCGCTCTGGTGACACTCCACATTGAGTGCTGCATCCAGCTCTGGGGTGCCCAGCACTGGAAGGACATCAGCCTTTTGGAGTAGATCTAGAGGACACCACCAAGATGATTAGAGAGATGGACCACCACTCCTATGGCTAAAGGCTAAGAGAATTGGGATTGTTCAGCCTGGAGAAGAGGTTTCAGGGTGACCTGCAATTGCATCTTGCAGTACTTGAAGGGAGCCTACAAGAAAGATGGAGAGAGACAGAGGCATGTACCGACAGGACAAGAGGGAATGGATTTAAACTGAGAATAGATTCAGCTATTAGGAAAAAATTCTTTACTCTGAGGGGCTGAGGCTCTGGAACAGGTTGCCCAGAGAAGTTGTGGACACTCCATCCCTGGAAGTGTTCAAGGCTAGGCTGGCCTCTGAACAACCTGGTCTACTAAAAGGTGTCCCTGCCAATGGCAGAGAGGATGGAACTAGGTGATCTTTAAGGTCTCTTCCAGCGCAAGCCATTCTATGATTCTATATTTCTTGTGCAGGATTAGACAATTCGTTATGGTTTTATGTTCCCATTTTCCCCAGCTGAAGTTTGTAAGTCATATCTGTGTTTTCACTTACTTGAAAACCAGTAACAGAAGTGATCCAATGGTGGGGGTTTCCAGACAGCAGCAGAATATCAAAGAAAATAACTTTCAAAGAGCCTATTTCAAAGCCTTTGTTTGATTTACATTAAACGCATAATTAACTCCACTGCTTGAACAAACTGAGAAGAAAGCCTCAAAATCAAAGATTTACAGAACTGCCAGCTATGAGAGTTCACAAGTCAAGTTCTGAAATAGCCATGAAATTGACTTAGAAACGTAAAAATCATCTGCCTCTGGTTCTCCTTTTCCTTGAGCTGCCTGTTTTGGAAATCTAGTAGAGGGCAGAAGTGGAGGTGTGAATTTGCAGTGCAGTAGCTGCTCCATGCCTGTTTCCTCAAGGCACAGTGCAACCTTCCCCTGGAAATGAGGAGGCATGGAAAGAGCCACAGTCTGCATGATGCACATGCACACCTCCACTCACCTTGGGGCAGCCACAGGCTATGATTTTCCCAAGTACAGGCAGGTTCTTCCTGCTGTTCTGGTTGCTCTGACCCCTCAGCATGTTGGGCAATTCTGCAGCTCTGTGTCCCTAGCCCGTACAGCTTCCTGGCTCACTTGGTATTTATTCCATCGGCAAAACAGCATAGCAACAGCTGCTCTTTGAAGAAAGCTGTGTGAAGGCCTAAGAGTCAGCATTTGCATGAGCTTAATGGGGACATGACTTGCCACCAATACTTCTCAGCCTCCCTACCACTTTCTTACAAGGCATTGCAGAAGAATGAGCATGACCTGCCCTTGCTACTCTACTTCTATCACGCTAAACCAAAGGGCCAGTGGCAGCAACAGAAAAACATGGGCAATAACCTTAATAAAGCCTCATCTATATAAAAGGTGGAGGATTTAGGACTTCCCAGACAATTACTAAGTTAGCTGAAAGCAAACAGAGACAGCATAAGGATTCAAAGCACAGACTTAAGCAAAAGACTGGAGATGCAAATGAGGCTGTCCAGCTCCACCTAAGGGAAGAGAGAAGCACAGATGCCCTGCCTGCAGTTAAGGACTGCACAAGTGATGCAGCCTCTGCTGCTGTGATATTCCTTGCATCATGGTCTCCCACCAAAGTTGGCTGGGGTAGCAGCACTTCAGAAATTTGTCCCAAACTGCTGTCCCTCCCCGCGCTGGGCTGCACCTTCCCTTCTACTCCTTCACTTCCAGGAAGGGAAACTCTGCATCATAGAATCAACCAGGTTGGAAGAGACCTCAAAGATCATCAAGTCCA